CAGGGCGGGCCGGCGGGGCCGCGCGTGAGGCCCAGTCCCATTCTCTGCCTGGTGCAGCGTCCCTGGAGACAGAGACCGCCGAGGACATGGACGGCCGGAGCCCGGCGCGTCTGCCTTGCACGCTAGCCATGTGGGAGCTGGGCCACTGCGACCCCCGGCGCTGCACCGGCCGCAAGCTGGCCCGCCTGGGCCTGGTGCGCTGTCTGCGTCTGGGCCACAGGTTCGGCGGCCTCGTGCTCAGCCCCATGGGCTCTCAGTATGTGTCCCCCGCTGACAGGTAAGCGCGAGAGGCCGGGGGAGGAGGAGGGAGTAGGAATGGGCGGGATTCCTGCTTGGACGCGCATCATTCCTTTCGGGGCTCACCTGTTTATACCTGTCTGGTTTGCCCCCATTGCCTAGCACAGAGCCCAGGATATAGATCACAAATAAACGTTTGTCACGTGATTAAATGAGCCTGTTCTAGTTTTCTAGTTGCCTCAAAGCTTGGCCTGTAAGGCCCCTTGGGGTTGAGGCAGGGGAATGATGTTCTTGTATCCCCAGTGAGGCCAGTTTCCAGGGAAATACCTGTTCTAGGGGCCATCATCAAGGTGGTGCTGGCCCCTAGAACCCTGTGCTGCTCCTGGCAGACAGCTGGTGGCACAGTCGGGGATGGCTGTCATCGACTGCTCGTGGGCCAGACTGGAGGAGACCCCGTTTGGGAAGATGCGGGGGAGTCACTTTCGGCTGCTGCCCCACCTGGTGGCCGCCAACCCCGTGAACTATGGCCGGCCCTGCAAACTGTCCTGTGTGGAGGCTTTTGCCGCCACCTTCTGCATCCTGGGTGAGTGTCAGGGCCTGGCAGCCTGGAGGCCTGGCTGTGCTCCCAGCAATGTGTTTTCTACTGACAAGTCCCAAGAGAAACTCACGGGTGTGTACAGAGGTGGCTGAGATGGACAGGCCAGGGTTTCTATCTCAATTCCTACTTAAAAGTTCTTGCTCTGTGGGGTTGAGGTGGCAAAACGAATAGCTGGCCTGCAAGCACTCATATTTGGCCTTGCTATCTTGGCACCACTGCCCTGAGAGCCCTCCATCACCCTTCAGCTCATCCTCAGAGAATTTATGGTCTTCATAGAGGCCCATCTGGGCAGCCCCATGAGACATAGGCAGGATTTAGTGGGCTGCAGAGGCAGGCATGGGCTGTCTGGACTGTAGGATGGTGTCTGGCAGGGACTTTTAGTTCCTGGGACAGCATTGAGTATGCTGGGGACGTGTTCGGGATTGGAAAGGGATTGTTGACATTCTTGGGTTTCCTGTTTCTGCGGCTTCAGGCTTCTCAGACCTTGCTGTCATTTTGCTGCGGAAGTTCAAGTGGGGCAAGGGCTTTCTAGACCTGAACCGTGAGCTCCTGGACAAGTATGCAGCTTGCTGCAGCCCAGAAGAGGTGCTGCAGGCAGAACAGGAATTCCTGGCCCATGCCAAGGAACGCCCAGAGGAGGAGATCGGTGAGGACTGGCATGGATGTGAGCCCCTTTATGGGTGGGAGCCAGGACCCTCCATGCTTGCCACCTCTTTGAGAAGCTGCAAGAGTGGAAGGCTGGGTTCTGCTCAAAGCTCACCTATATGTCACTGTCCTTTTTGCTCCCTCTGTTCAGATCCCTTTGACGTGGATTCAGGGCGAGAGTTTGCAAATCCCAACAGGCCCATGGCTGGCACCCAGTAAGTCCTCAAGCTTCCCAATTTCTGACAGCTCAGACCCAGGGCTGTCCTCAGCCTCTGGCCTCAGCCCTTCCTGCTGCATGGGAACAGGGTGGGGGTGTGGGGTTGACTGTGGAAATGAGGGGTCTGGATGTCCCATTGAGAGGTTTTGGTTTTGAGAACACAGGGAGTATGAGGAATTTGTACTCAGTCTGGGCGCTTTTGTGGGTCAGCATGCCAGGGAAGGATTACCTCAGATGAGGCACAGATGGTGCCTTTAATGAACACACCTCTCTTTCCAGGCTGCCCAGGGACACTGGTGACAGCGACAGTGAGGAGTCGTCTGAGGAAATTAGGCCTGAAGCTGAGGATGGAGGCTGCTGCTGCAGCAGCAGCCCAGAAGAGGAGGAGACTCTGGAACAGGGGTCAGAGACCAGGGCCCCCACCGAGGTTTGGAAAGGAATCAAGAAACGACAGAGAGACTGAAGGTTGCAGATGTGTATTTTTCAAGGCAGAGTGATGAGGAAATGTAGAGACTGCAGTGGGACTGGTGGGAACAAAGACAGGCCTGGGAGCCTCTGCTCATTGCATCTATGAGCAGCACTGGACTATGTTGGGTTATCTCCCAAAGTTTCTATCATGACCTTGCTCTGGGTCCTGCCTCAGAGTCCCCAATGAAGGTGCAGACAGGGAGACTTTATGAGCCTCTTTCTTTGCACTTGGCTTGGGTGCTTGGGGGGCTTTCAGCTTCTAGTGAGGCAGACCCAGCCTGGAAAGGTCTGGGCAGTGGGGTTGGCAGGCCATGGACTAGGTCTTGCGTGGGCACGAACAAGAAAGAACAAGCCAGACAGGTGACTAGTCAGCACGGAGCCCCTTATACTGACCCACCAGCCTCATAGAGTGACTCAAGGGATCCTCTCCTGGGCCTAGGATTCAGGTCGACTGGAGACCTATGACACTCTTAGTAAACTTACTCTCCATATGCCCTCCGTGGGTGGAGAGTTCTGGAGCCCAGAGAGGGTGAGAACACTGTGGCTGCTCATTTTCTCCCTCCACCTGGGGCCCTGGGAGCTGCTTCACTCTAAGGTTTGGATTGTTCAGACTCAAACCTTGGCCTTCCTGCCTTTCAGCGTAGTGAGCTCCTGCCCTCCACCCAACACTGAGAGAGACAAGAACAGAGCTGCTTCTAAGACAGCTGTGCTGTGGCACTGGTGATATTGGGAGTAGACCATTCTTAGTTGGGGAGAGAGTGCTGTCTAGCTTATTGCAGGATATTAAGCAGCATCCCTGAACTTTCAAAGTACCCCCCTTCAACCTCCAGGTGTGACAACCAAAAATGTCTCCAGACATGACCTAATGTCCCCTGTGGGGAAAAGCCCCCCACTGAGAACTGAGTGCCTGCCCACCCTGGGGCTGTAGAACCCCCAGGAAGCAGGTGGGGAAGCTCATCTGGTGGCCAGGCTTCCTCTGCTCCCTGTTCAGGGGGCAGCTGCTGGCCAGGCCCTGCCAAGTTGGCCACCCATATACAGGGTTAGGGGGTGCTTGCTGGGTGCAAGGAGTTCATAGCATACACCACATGGACACACCAGGGCAGACAGGAGCCGGGTGGCCTAGCCACAGCACGAATGCCACACAGCAGGGGAGGGGGCACCACAAGCCCTGGCTGTACTAAGCTGAGATGACACCATGAGGATTTGGGGAGGTTCTGGGGCTGGTAGCTGCAGGGGGCTCATGGGTCCGCCTCCATGAATTTCTCCAGCTCCCTAAGTCTCTTGACAAACTCCTGTGCCTCCCGGTTGGTGCGACCTTCCAGCATCCTCAGTGCAGACTTTACTGCAGGCAGGAGGGCAGGGACAGCATCAGGCCCTGCCAGCCCTCAGACCCACCGCCCCCCTGGCCCCCCACTCACCCTGGGCTCTGGGCCGGCGCAGGTGCAGGGTGACAGGCTGCCCAGCCCTTGTGCTCCCCGCAACCTGAGGCCGCACAATGCCGCCAATGCTACCCAAGCCGAGGGCTGCCTCCCCTGCAAAGTCGTTGGTGGACAGCCAGTCGTGGTCCATGACCGTAAATAGCACACAGGCACCACGGCGGCGGCATGCCTCTGCTGGCACAGAGCTGTAGGCAGAGCGCAGTCACCTAGAGCCCTGCTCCCTGCTTGGCCTGGTGTTGGGCAGGTGGGGGCAACACTTACAAATAGAAGAGTTCGTCGTATACTGGGTGCAGTGTTCGGCT